TCGAAGTTTGGGCCATAATTGCGACCTTTGGAGCGATCGCTTCAGCTAGTCGAGATATGACGATCGATATACTTAAAGGAGGGTCAGGACCAATATTTCGCGGCGTTACAAACTCTTGGGGCTGGACAATGCTATTATACCCTGACAACATAGTTGTGTAGGGTATAAAAATACAAAAATCTACTACTTGGCCATTTTTTTATACCCTTCACCACACTGTTGTGCAGGGTATTATGTCTTTGTGCATATGGTTCCTTTTGAGAATATCACTTTCTGAGTCGATTTATGTAGGACCGTCTGTCTGTCCATGTTAAATTGTAAACAAAGAGCAGGCCGCATTTATTATCCGAATTGAAAGAAATTCGGCACAAGTCATGTATTTGGCCCAAGGACGAATCCTATTGAAATTGAAGAAAATCGGATCAGATTTAGATATAGCTCCCATATATATATTTTCATCCGATTTTATGTAAATGGCGCACCAAAGTCCCTATATATCATTCGATTTGCACGAAATTTGGCACAGGGTACTGAATTAGGTCCAAAATAATGTGTGCTAAGTTTCGTGAAAATAGGATCAGATTTAGATATAGCTCCCGTATATAGATTCGTCTGATTTGATGTATATGTTGCACTAAAGTCCCTATATATTTCTCGATTTGCACGAAACATTTCATAGGGTACTGAATTAGGTCCAAAATGACGTGTGCTAAGTTTGGTGAAAATAGGATCAGATTTAGATATAACTCCCGTATAGTTTCGTCCGATTTAATGTAAATGGTGCACCAAAATCCCTATATATCTTTCGATTTGTACGACATTTGGCATAGGGTACTGAATTAGGTCCAGAATGATGTGTGGTAAAGTTCGTGGAAAGCCGTTCAGATTTAGATATAGCTCCCATATATAGTTTCGTCCGATTAAAGGCAAATGGGGCACCAAAGTCCCTATATATCCTTCGATTTGCACGAAATTTGGCACAGCGTACTGAATTAAGCCTAGAATGATGTGTGCAAAGTTTCGTGAAAATAGGATCAGATTTACATATAGCTCCCATAAATATTTTCATCCGATTTTATGTAAATTGTGCACCAAAGTCCTTATATATCCTTCGAAATTTGGGACAACGTACTGAATTGGGCCTAGAATGATCGGTCCAGATTTTAATATAGCTCCCATATAGTTTCGTCCGATTTCATGTAAATGGTGCACCAAAGTCCCTATATATATTTCGATTTGCCAGAAATTTTGCATATTGTGCTGAATTGAGTCTAGAGTGACGTGTGTTAAGTTTCGAAAAAATGGGGTCAGATTTATATATTGCTCACATATATAATAGGATCCATGCCCTTCCCATAGATTCCCCGTTTCTCTCAGTGTATACGATTCTCCAATAAAATTCAAATGCCTTCTTCCATAGTCACCGTGAGTGTGACTGGTAATGTGCATATTTATGTTGTTGTTTTTGTAGTTGCTGGGCACTTCAAATTCAACATTTAGGTGTGCCTGTCAAAAGTGTAGTTTGCCACGTTAGGAGGCATGCATTTTTAATAGACCCAACCACCAGCAGTTCGTTCGAGAGGATATCTGCTTGTCTGCCAGGCAAACTAGGCAGCTAGGCTAGCTGTCGTCCGTCAATTCTCTCCCCACTGAACACCAATTGGGAGAAATCAATAAATATTTCAATGGTGGTTGGTTATAGCATTTGAATGGCTAACGATGTCGCCACTACCGTCGTGGTCGTCGTCAGGGAAGACATTTGAAATGTTAATCGTGTCTTTGGAGCTCCGTCTTCAGGAATGGTTAGGGAAAAACAACACAACGATACAAAATTGCATTGCCAATAAACTGAAGTGGGTGAATAATTTCTCGAACCAGTATTACAAAACTCAAAAACCGATAACTTTGTATGGGAGTGGGAGTAGGCTGAAGGCAATTTACTTCAACTCTCGTAGTTATGGGCAATGGGGGGCTTTGTTGGCAATTATTGATTAGGGCTTATGACAATTGATTACACATATCCTCGGTGTGAGTAAGAGTGTGTGTGTGTGGGTGTTTAATGCAAATTTTTATTTGCATTGAAGTTATGATGTCGATATCTACTTTGAGTTTGCTTTGATGAATTGTTTTTCTTGGAAATGTTTTTTTATTTATTTTTAGATGTTATTATTATTTTATATATTACGGCGGAAGTAGGTAATATAAAAAAAAAACATTTTAAAAATAAACAAATTAGGTCAAAAGCGTTTTAGATTAAAAACCAGTAAGAAAAGTGGTAACGTCGGACTGGGCCGACTATATGATACCCTTCACCACTTTGAATATATTCTACATATGTATCCTAACAGACGTCGCCTTTTCGAAGGAACATTAACATGAAATTGAACGAATTTAAATCAAAATCTAACCCAATATTCTCGAAACTTAAAACACGAGCTATGGAAGGGACAGATATCCATCTCAAAGACACGAAAATCCCCATGAATATGCAGAACGACAACAACATCATGTGTTTCGAGCCCCATTTACCTTAAATCGGACGAAAATATATATGGGTGCTATATATAAATCTGTCCCGATTTTCCCGAAATTTGGCACACGTCATTCCAGACTTAATTGAGTACGCAATGCAAATTTTCGCGTATATCGAAAGATATATAGGGACTTTGGTGGACCATTTACATAAAATCGGACAAAACTATACATGGGAGCTATATATAAATCTGAACCGATTTTCACGAAACTTAGCACACATCATTCTGGGCCTAATTCAGAACTCTATGCCAAATTTCATGCAAATCGAAAGATATATAGGGACTTTGGAGCCCCATTTACAAAAAATCGGACGAAAATATATATAGGAGCTATATCTAAATCTGAACCGATCTTCTCGAAACTTGACATGCATCATTCTAGACTTAATTGAATACGCAATGCAAAATTTCGCGCAAATCGAAAGATATATAGGGACTTTGGTGCACCATTTACATCAAATCGGACAATACTATATATGGGAGCTATATCTAAATCTGAAGCGATTTTCTCGAAACTTAGCACATATCATTCTAGGCTGAATTCAGTAGCCTGTGCCAAATTTCGTGCAAATCGAAAGATATTTAGGGACTTTGGTGCACCATTTACCTTAAATCGGACGAATATATACATGGGAGCTATATCTAAATCTGAACTGATTTCCACGAAACTTGGCAGACATCATTCTAGGCTCAATTCAGTACGTTATGCTAAATTTCGTGCAAATCGAAAGATATATAGGGACTTTGGTGCACCATTTACATAAAATCGGACAGTACTATATATGGGAGCTATATCTAAATTTGAAGCGATTTTATCGAAACTTAGCACATATCATTCTAGACACAATTTAATATACTATGCAAAATTTCGCGCATATCGAAAGATATATAGGGACTTTGGTGCAACATTTACATAAAATCGGACAATACTATATATGGGAGCTATATGTAATTTTGAAGCGATTTTCATGAAACTTAGCACATATCATTCTGGACCTAATTCAGTACCCAATGCCAAATTTCGTGCACATCGAAAGATATGTAGGGACTTTGGTGCCCCATTTACCTTAAATCGGACGAAAATATATAAAGAGCTATATCTAAATCTGGACCGATTTTCACGAAACTTAGCACATATCATTCTAGGCTGAATTCAGTAGCCTGTGCCAAATTTCGTGCAAATCGAAAGATATTTAGGGACTTTGGTGCACCATTTACCTTAAATCGGACGAATATATACATGGGAGCTATATCTAAATCTGAACTGATTTCCACGAAACTTGGCAGACATCATTCTAGGCTCAATTCAGTACGTTATGCTAAATTTCGTGCAAATCGAAAGATATATAGGGACTTTGGTGTCCCATTTACCTTAAATCGGACGAAAACATATATAGGAGCAGTATTTAAATCTGAACAGATCTTCTCGAAACTTGACACACATCATTCTAGACACAATTTAGTATACTATGCACAATTTCGTGCAAATCGAATGATATATAGGGGCTTTGGTGGACCATTTACATAAAATCGGACAAAACTATATATGGGAGCTATATCTAAATCTGAACCGATTTACAGGAAACTTAGCACACATCATTCTAGAGACAATTTAGTATACTATGCTAAATTTCGTGCAAATCGAATGATATATAGGGGCTTTGGTGCCCCATTTACCTTAAATCGGACGAAAATATATATAGGGGCTATATCTAAATCTGAACCGATCTTCTCGAAACTTGACACATATCGTTCTGGACCCAATTTAGTATACTATGCAAATTTTCGTGCAAATCGAATGACATATAGGGGCTTTAGTGGATCATTTACATAAAATCGGACAACACTATATATGGGAGCTATATTTAAATCTGAAGCGATTTTCTCGAAACTTAGCACATATAATTCGGGACCTAATTCAGTACCCTATGCCAATCTTCGTGCAAATCGAATGATATATAGGGACTTTGGTGGAGCTATATATAAATCTGAAGTGATGTTCACGAAACTTAACACACATCATTCTAGACCTAATTCAGTACCCTATGTCAAAGTTCATGCATATCGAAAGATATTCATGGACTTTGGTGCCCCATTTACTTTAAATCGGAGGAAACTATATGTGGGAGCTATATTTAAATCTGAACCGATTTTCTTCAATTTCAATTGGGTTCGTCCTTGGGCCAAATAAGTGAGAAGTACCAAATTTCATCCAAATCGGATCATTAATGCGACCTGTACTTTGTTTACAATTTAACATCTACAGACGGACGGACTGAGTGACTGACGGACATGCATAAATCGACTCAGAAAGTGATTCTATGCATTCTATACATTCTGATTTTTAGAAATATTTTTTTAAGTATATTTATTTAATATCTATTTAATAAAATTTCTTCTTTTGCAGAACATCAACAGCAATCACATCATACATTGCAACAGCAGCAACAACAAACGCAATCGCAGCAGCAGCAACAACAACAATCCCTGCAACAACACCCATCAGCCCAATCACAATCTCCCTTTGTCATAAACGATTCGAATTCAAATAGTGCTGTGGCCAAATCCTTTGTGCCCTGTAAAGTTTGTGGTGACAAGGCATCGGGTTATCATTACGGTGTTACCTCCTGTGAGGGTTGTAAGGTAAGTCAGAATGCCAATTCAATTGATAAAACAAAAAAAAGTAATTGTAGATTTATACCATTGTTGCAGGGTTTCTTTCGTCGCAGCATCCAAAAACAAATCGAATATCGTTGTTTGCGGGACGGCAAGTGTTTGGTGATACGACTCAATCGAAATCGCTGCCAATATTGTCGTTTTAAGAAATGTCTATCAGCTGGTATGAGTCGAGACTGTAAGTATATCATAACCACCCTCTCTCGCCACAGTAATAGGCATAAAAATATATTTTTTTTTTGATAAAAAATATTGTAGAAATTATTAATTAACTTGGAGAAAAAACAAATTGTTCTGAAAAAATGCATTGGATCCATTGGGCAAAATAAAAAAATTAGAACCGTACCATGGAGCGTATGATTGTTATTATTTCCGGAACTGTTTCGGAAAGCTCGTCCTAACTTCTGAACCTTTGTATTGAATTTCAACAGAAAAATATTATTCAATAGCTAACACATTAGAGCTGAAAATTCTATTAGAAATATAACATATTTTACCTCCATGTATTAGGTAGAGGATATGGGAAAAATATAAAAAATATCATATGTGAAAGCTTTCCTGATTCCTGGTCTCTAATACTATGGAATTTTTTTGTATAAAATATTGTATTGAAATTGTATGAAATACAATTTTATTAAATATTGAATTTCATAGAAATCCCGTTCTTTAAATGTTTACACCTGAGCGTATGACTGTTATTAATTATTGGATTGAAATTCAGAAAAAAAATTCAAAACAACTCATTTCTCAGAATATTTCTCATTTTTCTTTCATACTCTGGAAATATTTTTATATAAAATATTGCCTTAGCTGCGAATTTATAAATTCCAATCATTAAGTGTTAATAAATTATATAAATTCTTATATTTAAGACAATTTTTCAATTTGGTACTCATTAGCGTATGATTATTATTAATTAATGGGTTGTTTCTTAAAAATCAACATAATTGTGGAAGTATGAGCTCAATTTTCAATAGAAAAATTGACTTCGAAAGCTAACACATGCCACTAGCTAAATAAAATGGAAATTTTAAAACCTTACTCTAGAAAATATTATATATTTAGCCAAGAAATTTGGAAATGAAAAAAAAATAATAATATTACATGCTAGATAGAGATTTATTATTTATGCTTCAAATAATTCCGTAATTTTTTATGGTTACATTGCATACTAGTGTTAATAAGCTACAAGACCATTAGCTACTACTGTTTGATATAAATTCCGATTTAAAAACTTTTTTTTTTAATTCTGTACACCTGCAAGTATTATTATTATTTTCAACCAAATTCGCTGAAATTTGGTACATTAAGTTCCTATTGGGTACCAAATTTCCCCACTCAAACTTATAAATATAGGTCTATTTTTTCTGGTAGCGCCCATATAAAGGTACCCCCAATTTTTAGTGTTTGTGGGGTTTTGACCGGATTTTTTCCGGATTTTGCCTGTATATTTGTATTTAGAGTTCTTAATAGGTACCAAATCTCTCTACAAAAAAGTATATGTATAGGTCAATTTTTTTCGGTAGCCCCCATATAAGGGTACCCTCCAATTATCGGTATTTTGGTGTTCTTAAGCGCGGTTTTCAACCGAATTCGCTGAAATTTGGTATTTTGTAGTCGTATTTGGTAACAAATCTCCCTACCGAAAATTATTAATATTCGCCCCTTTTTATGGGTAGTCCCCATATAACCCCCTTTTTATACCCTCCACCATAGTATGGAGGGTATATTAGTTATACCCTACACAACTATGTTGTCAGGGTATTATAGCTTTGTGCATCCCCAAAAGTTTGTAACGCCGCGAAATATTGGTCCTAGACCCACCTTTAAGTATACCGATCGTCATATCTCGACTAGCTGAGTCGATCTAGACGTGTGTCTCCGTCTGTCCATTATAATTTGTAAACACAATACAGGCCACAGTTATGGACCAATCTTCACGAAATTTTGCATGTGGGATGGGTTCTGGCCAATGAAGACCCCTATTGTTTTTGATAAAGATCGGTTAATATTTAGGGGATGAAATGGACCAAAAACTTTATTTTTGCCCAATATTCTGGTCGCTCCAGAGGCCGCAATTTTAGCCCGAACTTCGCGAATTTTCACATGGAGAAAGGGGGTCGGGCCAAAGAATAAGCATGCCTGTTCGGTTAAAGATCGGTCAATATTTAGCTGGTCAAATGGACCCTGATTATTGTGTGAAAAATTACAAAATTTGTATTCTATGGCGTATATATATACTCCTGAAGGACATAGACCCGGGAAGTTGACAGTATATGCAAGAGGAGTTGTTGCCCTTTAAATTAATACCAATCATATTGTCGTAGGTACTCGGATGCGGGAGTTACATTTAAATATTTACAGGTGCCTACGTATTCATATATTATTTAGTAACCTATTATCACACTTTAGGGTGGTATATAGCCTGATCGCTTTGAAATGTTCCATGAGGTACCAGTTATGGTCAAGGACAACGCCTATATTGTTAGGTGATGATCAGATAATAATTTTTCTGATGAAGTGGACGGAAAACTTAATTATTTGTACTTTTCGAGTCGAAAGCCGAACATCACAACACAACCTACGGTGAAGGGAATCTGGACATGTAATTAGAGGGGCTGTACTGATTATTAGTAACATTTTCTGACCTCTAGCCAGTCAAAAGTGTACAACTATCGCGAAATATTGCCCAATCTCAGAATATAGAACCACAGAAAGTTAGATTTTCATGGAAGTTGTGTAGGGTATCGTATGGTCGGCCCGTCCGACTATACTGCTCCGCTCACTGGTTAATATCATAATTTAATAATTTAATTTACTACGAGTACGATTTAGAAGAGAATACTAGACTTTGAAAGTGAAGAACTCATAGCATAAACATTTAATATAAAAATAATAGACTCAATTTATAAAATATTTATTTGTTGGCCGAAAAAATCATAAGATCTTACTAGAATTCTGATTCTTGACGATAATGATCTTCCATCCTATTTTTTGTGGTAAAAGTGCTGTTTTCCACTTGAATATCGCAATTGATTTCATTAAGCGCTAATATTTAATAAAAATCTTTATTTAAAATCAATTTCTACGATTTGGGACCCATGAGCGTATGATTATTATTAATTACTGGGTACTTTAAGAAAAATACAAATAACAGTAAAAGTATGGGTTCTATTTGGAAAAGCAAAATATGCTTTGAAAGCTTACACATAACACTAGCAGATTAAATAGTAGTAATGGAAACAGTAGTCTAGAAAATAATAAAATTTTGGCGGAGAAATTTGAAATTAAAAAAAATAATCCTAGAAATGTTACACAAGTATGTTGTCAGGGTATTATAGCTTTGTGCAGCCCCAAGAGTTTGTAATGCCGCGAAATATTGGTCCTAGACCCACATTTAGGTATACCGATCTTCACATCTCGACTAGCTGAGTCGATCTAGACATGTGTGCCCGTCCGTCTGTCCATTATAATTTGTATACACGATACAGGCCACAGTTATGGACCAATATTCATGAAATTTTGGATGTAGGATGGGTTATGGCCCTTGAAGACCCCTATTGCTTTTGGTTAAGATGGGTTAATATATAGGGAATATATAGGAATACTTAATTTTTTTCTGTTTTTCTGGTCGCTCCAGAGCCCGCAATTATGGCCCAAACACCGCGAATTTTAGCATGGAGTAGGGAATCGAGCCAAAGAATAAGCCAGCCTGATTTGATAATGATTGGTCAGTAATTAGTGGGTCCAATTGACCCTGACTTGTATGATAAATTACAAAATTTGTATTCTATGGCGTATATATTTGCCCCTGAAGAAAGGTTAACCTATAAATTGATACCAATTATATGGCCGTATGTACTCAGACGTGGGAGTTACACTTAAATATTTACGGGTGCTTACGTACTGACGTATTATTTAGTAACCCATTAACTTTAGAGGGCGGAAATATAACGCTGATCGCTTTGAAATATTCATTGAAGATCCAGGTATGATATGGACATCGCCGATAATTTTCGGTTATGATCAGATAATATTATTGACATTAAATGGACTGAAATCTTATTTTTGTGTGAGTGTTTTTTTGAGTCGATCTATAGGCCACAATTGAAAGCTGAACATCACAACACAACCCACGGCGAAAGGAGTCTAGACAAGTAATTAGAAGGGCTGTACTGAATATAAGTCATGAGGTCGAAAATATCGCGAATATTGCCCAAGCTAAGAATAAAGAAACACACAGAGTTAGATTTTCGTGGAAGTTGTACAGGGTATCATATGGTCGGCCCGTCCTACTACTGCTCCGCTCACTGGGTTTTTTTTTTAAATACAATATTAAGTTACCCTTCAATATAGCAATATATTTCTAATAATTTTTTATAGTATTAATAGAAATCAAATTCTTTAATTTAGTACATCGTAGCGTATGATTATTATTAATTACGGAGTATTTTCACAAAAATTGACATAACTATTGAAGTATGTGCTTGATTTTGAAAAGAAAACCACCATTCGAAAGCTAACATATAACACTAGAAGATTAAAGCGATAATACAATACTTTTACTCATGAAAATTTTATATGTTCGCCTAAGAAAATTAGAAATTAAAAAACAGAATAATATTCTCACCTAACGATTTCCTATATCTAAATCTGAACCGACTTTCAGGAAACTTCAGACACATCATTCTAGACCAAATTCATGAGGCTATGAAAAATTTCGTGCAAATTGAAAGATATATATTGACTTTGGTGCACCGTTTACATTAAATCGGAGGAACATATATATAGGAGCTATATCTAAATCTGAACCGATTTTCACGAAACTTAGCACACATCGTTTTAGACTTATTGCAGTACGCTGTGATAAATTTCGTGTTAATCGAAAAATACATAGGGACTTTGGTGCACCACTTACATTAAATCGGACGAAAATATACATGGGAGCTATATCTAAATCTGAACCGATTTTTACGAAATTTAGCACAGGTCATTCTAGACCTAATTCATTATGCTGTGCTAAATTTCGTGTTAATCAAAAAATATATAGGGACTTTGGTGCACCAGTTACATTAAATCGGACGACAATATATATGGGAGCTATATCTAAATCTGAACCGATTTTCAGAAAACTTAATACACATCATTCTAGGCCTAATTCATTACACTGTGCCAAAT